ACGTATTAATTATAGTATATTAAATTGACAAAAATTTATAAAATAAGGGTAAATTAATCATCAAAGATGCGTGTAAAATACCATTCTTAAAAAACTTTCTTCGTAACGTAAAATTTAAATTTCAAGTACAAAGTCCAAAAGTTATATTTTTTTTTATAATTATATGTTAAATGTACAAAATCTTATCCAATAACAATTCAAGCGTTAAAATTAAAAGAATATTTTATTCACTAAGAATACAATGCTAAACTAACTAAACCTCAAGTGAGGGTTAGATGGATCACCAAAATTGAATGTGATAACATACCTTCCTAAAACCCATGAAATTGGAATGAGAGATATCAAATTGCAAGTTTTGAAAATAAAGGGTTTAAAGTGTATGTAGTAACTCTTGATTTTGATTGTGTGTCCAAAAACAATGATGCAGAAACTTGGTATAATGGTTTGAAGACAGCAAGTGTTGATCTTGGAGAAGTTTCTCTTGGCCAGAACCCATCTAATTTGCTTAGACTCAATCTGTTATACAAATTTGGTATTGTGTTTTCTAGACACAGACACAGATGTTGTTATATATAAACATCCACACATACCCACCATCCCATAACATCAATTCATGAACTGACTTCTTAGTTTCATTATATAAAACAATTCTTAAGGATATTCAAACACTATATGGAAACGTTTATTTGTTCCTGTTGATCATTGTATATTTCAGAATGCATTCTATTTAGAATGATTTCAAAAGAAATTAGGAGATTGTATTACTGTGTGTCCTCGTTACAAAATCGTATTATAAGATCTTGCAAGCAGATTTACAAGTACTATAACCCAAATTTTTTATACTAGCCAACAAGAGATTCATGAGCTCAGCTGCTGCATACCCACAAACATATACATATAGCAGCAAAATTTCTGAGAGAAGGAATGATCAACTCTTGTATGACTTTATTGAATACTTACAATTTACAAACTAGATCCTGAAGAATTACAGAATATGCAACAATCTGATATTATATGATCAATTATGCTGCCTTTTTCAATTCTAAGTTCCCTACTCTGTCTGTTCCATAGATGAACAGCAAAGCTTTGGCGACGAATGTTCACGAGCTTATTCTGCAACCACTTCGATTGATCACTATCGTTTCCAGGACCTCGAAAAAGGCTCTGAATCCGAGTCCAATCTACCGGATAAAATGCGTGTGGAGGCAAGATAGTGAAGTTAAACCCAGGTTTCTCATTGATTCTAGCAACAACCCTAGACACCAAATAGGGACCATTGTGACCCCATTTGTTTCCATTGAAAGTAAGAGCAAATTCTTGAATGAAATTGAAGAGTAATGGGTGTTTCTTGTCAAAGATCAAGACAGCATTATTCAATCTGCTCCAATTCTTTTTTTCAGCATCCATGGCTTGTGCTCCTATTACATTACTCAGATTAGAGAAACTCTTTAGTATGACTACATCTGTGTCTAGATACACCCCACCGAATTTGTATAACAATGAGAGTCTAAGCAAATTAGAGAGGTTTTGACCAAGAGAAACTTCTCCAGGATCAATAATGCCTCTCTTCAACCCATCAAACCATGTTTCTGCATTAGTTTTTTGGAATATATAATCAAAGTCAGGAGTTACTGCAATCACCTTAAACCCTTTTTTCAAAAACGGTTTCAGAATCAAACTTCCCCTTTTGGAATCAAGTGAGGCTGACACCATAACCAAGCAAGCATCTGGGTGTGACTTGAACAGACTCTCAACAGCAAGCAATTCTCTACCACTAAATGACTCAATTGAAGATATCCAAGTCATGAAAAACCTCAACTTACAGGAAGAATTATCCAAGAACTCCTCCACTTTTGCTGAAAAATGCTTTGATTTAGCTTCGAATTTCAGAACACTAGAAACGGGTCTCCTTTTCTCCAATCTTTTTGGGTTAAACACCGACGAACTGTTGGTGGGTGTCCTTGAAATCTCTGGTTTTTCCAAAAGGGGCAAATGGGTCTTCAAGATCGCAGGTGGGCTCTCCTCTTTCACCGCATACATCACAGAAGAAGACGAAGACGACTGTGATGATTCTCGCTCCGGCAAGAAATTGGCGGGCTCCGGCGAGGATTTGGCGGGAAAAGAGGGTTTAACGCAGAACACAGAGAATCCATTGTAGGTTAAGAGAAGAACAAGGAAAAGAGCAAAGATTGAAGTGGGTAAGCAGAAAATAAATGCAAGAACCGATCTTTTTATGTCCTGCATACAGTCAAGAAAAGCGCGGTACTGTTGATAAAGCTTGGTTATTTGGTTCATGATGGTTTTTTAAAAATGGTATCTTTTGTCTTTGGAAATTGTTCCTTTGTCGTCTAGTTAATAAGAACCAGAGATATTTGCAGAAGAAATATTAATGATCAGGACTGAGGAGGAAGAAGAGAAGAAGACTTTAATGGCGGAGGCGGTAAAACACCAAAAGAAAAGTTTGTTACTATCCTGTTTGGTAACAAGGAAAATCCAAAAGAAGATAGAAACTGTCAGAGAAAGTGGGTTTCACCTCGCAGTCCACTTTCATGGGAGATGAAAAGAGAGTTTTTTTCTTTTCTGAATTCTGGGTGCTTAACGATCTTAAAAACCCAAAATTTGCCTTCTGATTTTTCTCAAATCTTTGATTAGTTTGTATTTCGTGCGCATAAATACACACACCCACTTATGTGTATATGTTTTCTAATTAAATAATTTTGTGAAGACTAATTCGGTAAAAGAAAATTAGGGTGCTTGTCTTGTTTAGGAAAGAGTTGATTTGTAATTCTTTTGCCTAATTAAAATCATTCATATTTCTACTTGTATTTATTTTATAATAAATTATTATCATAAATGTGTAATTTATTGTGGAAGAAGTTACCCTAAAATTTAGTTCTTGTTTTTAATTGAATTTATTTTCAATCTCTTCACTATATAAAGTCAAAAGCTTTCCTAAAAAAATTTTCAAAAAAAAAAAAAAAAAAAAATCCTCCAAAAAGGAGGATTCAAAAGTTTGAGATTATTTTCCATATATATATATAACGTATAAGAATGAAATCATTTAAAATTATGGTATTTTAGCTGATTTAATTATAAATTCTTTTTTTCCCAACTCAAAATTTAGAATTATTATGGGATTTTTAAGATTGTGATTAATTTTAATTTAGACAAATATTTTCTATATTTTACAAGTTTTTTATCTAGAATTTTCTTCTCTAATCATTATACTCATTAGTATTTGGTCACCCTCATTTGGTTTGACTTATTTCTTAAATTTATAAGCACGTAAAATTATAATTCAAAAGTTTATATATATATATATATACACGTATAACTTTAAAAAATAATTAATAATATATTTATTTTTCAAAGAAAGAAACATAAAGTATTAAAGATTCCCAAAATCACACATTAGAAGATGGACTAAAAAATCATAAGTCTCTTCTAAATAAGTAATTGATGATTCAACTACTTTTTCAATTAATAATTGAAATTTTTATCCTTTAAATAGGCACTAACATTGTGCCATTTTAAATATGTACTAACCATTATAAGAGAATTAATTATTTATATCATCATACATGATGATAATTATAAAATAAATTATTTAAAATTTCTTTACGGTCGCTAACAAATTGTGTATAAAATATTAATTCAAATAAGTTTTTTTTTTCAATTTTTTTTTAAGTAAAAAAATGTTTTTTTCTTTTAATTTTAATAATACGATCAAATTTAAATAATATATGATAGAAATAAAATATCATCTTTAAATTATTAAAGAAATAAAATGAATATCATTAATATATTATTACTATATTAAATAATAAACGAATTTCAGTCCGACGGATTTTAATCTACCAATCGGGAGATTATAACTAAGAGGATTCTTTTTATTCAAACTCAATTAGCCTAACTCATTGTGATCTCTACTTACACTAAGTTTACACATAAAATCCGTAGTGTTAACACATAATTAGAAAAAGAGTAAAGGCTTTGGATTTGTTGAAGGGTATTATTGGAAATTCATTATTTTTAATGTTTGATGTAACGATCCAGAACTTAAAAGAAAATAAATTATAAATCGATTGCGGAAGCAAAATAATAGCGTTAGGATTTACATTTCTTACATAATAATTCAGAATACCCAATAGGGATACGGAAATAACCTTTATAAAAGACAACGAAAAATCAAAGAAATAACTGGAAAGTAAACAATTGCTCATTCTATTCGCAACCTTCTTGTGAATCGGGATCTGAATCTCGGTCCTCTTAATCTGAAATAGTTAATGAAAGAGTGAGCTGTACTAGCGCAGTAAGAATGTCACACTACTCACTGATACAGAAATGAAGGTTGATAAAAATCATAAAAATAACTAATAGAGCTCTTAATTTAAGTAAATTTATTTACATAAATAAAATCATTTACCGCATAATTACCATAGCGAGATTTTAAAAAACTGACTTATAGAGGCAATAATATAATCAATATTATAATCTCATATTCAAACATTCGGAACAATAAGTTTCTCTTTTATCTGCCTACTGGTATCCATGGGGGTCCATAGGAACTCTTCTACGTGTGAACCTTTATTCAACATTTTTCATTAACCAGCCGTCTCCATAACCCATCCGGTATGAGTACCAAAAAATTACCATCCCTCAATACCCCGTCCGGTATGAGGGTGAAACAAACCGTCCTCATACTCTGTCTGATATGAGTGTCAAATTACCAATCCTCGATACCCCGTCTGGTATAAGGCAACATTCATAATAGGGTTTCCTATGTACCCGATTCGTTCACCATCTACCAAGATATCCAGTAAGATTATCATTCATCCATTTACTTAATTAAGTAATTTTCCATTTACATTTAATTTTGTAATCACACAAAACAAACAATACATGCATCAAGAAAACACAACCGAATCATCTTACAAATTCCAATGTATTATCATACATTCAAAACTGTAGAATCAAACAATCAGTCAAAATATGACAACAGTAATAAATAACTGATTCTGTCTCCATTAGTAACCTATAATTTGTAACGGCCCCGGAAATTTAAAATGGAATGTACATTAAAAATATCAAATGCAGAACCGAAGTCAAAAATTCGATTAACATCCCTTACACTAAAACCAAAAACGTGCTCACAATATAAAAGATCAAACTACCTAAAGGAGAAACTTGAAAGTAAAAGCTACGAGTATGACTATGGAGTCTTTAGGCGTCCCCTTCGTCGTCCTCCTGCGGAACCGGCTCGGGAACAATGTCTTCCTGATCTGAAATGATTAAATAAGAAATGAGTTACACTAGCCCAGTAAAGACATCACGATGTCACACCGTCACGGAGGTAAAGGTGGGTAGAAAACACAAAAAGACCAATGGAGCATAATTTACAACAAATCCTTTTATCAATAATAAAACCTTTACCATTCGCTTACCTCGGTGAAATTCATAAAACAATATACGAAAGCAATAACATCATCATCATCATGAAATCATATATAAACTGTATAACATAATACTTATCAAGCCTTTCGTAATTCAATCGTTACACAATATATTTTCCTCATTTACCAGCCCACTAGTATCCATGGGGATCCATAGGGGTCCCGCTACCCGTTAACCATTAACGCTTGAAATCATATTCCAGGGTCGTCCCCATACCCCGTCCGGTATGGGCACCAAAACTATAAACCTCATTACCCCGTCCGGTATGAGGGTGAAACGGGCCATCCCCATACCCCGTCCGGTATGGGCGCCAAAACACATAAGATCTCCATACTCCGTCCGGTATGGGAGACCACAATCCCGGTAGGGTTCCCTACGGACCCGGTCCGTCCACCATCTCCTAAGATATCTAGTCAGGCTGACCACATTATACGATTACCCATTTACATAATCTTTCATTCTCTTTTTCCTCAGTCAGCATCATCAATCCACATATAAACAAACAAAACGGTAATTTACGCCAAACAGACAACATACAGCATCAATATCCCAGTCATTCAATCCATAATCAATAAAACAGTAAAATGTGCACACGAAATTATAAAATAAAAACATCAAATCTCATACTGCATTTAAAACTGTAAAATATGCCAAATAACAGTTAACCGACAAACACACTAGACTCGGGCTCCATTAGCGACCTTAAGCAATTTCACACATTCGTTGATTCATGAAATGCCATTTTATCATTTATTGAACTTTAATACCGTGATAGAAAATAGGGTGAGGGGTCCTTACTCGTTTCGGGGTCCGAACACGGCTTCACAGTGCGCCTACAGACTGTCCCTAATTTTCCCTGAATTTTTTCCGGGGAACTGAAACGCACTACTGGCACCTGCATGTGTTCCAAAAAAATTCCAAATTAGGCCCAGGGCCCCTTTCGGCCAATATCGCAATTCTGGCATGGCGACTTCGCCGTGCTCCGGCGACGGTGCCGCCGCTTGCGGCAGCGATTCGCCTCGGTTTGGCCGTTTTCGGCCGAATTCGGCCACACTTGCATCGATCCTTGCGATTAAACAACTCTAGGGCCCTCGGGGGGCCAAAAAAATTACAGAAAACAGAAGCTTACCTGCGGCGGTGCTCTCGGGTGCGGCGGCTCTCCGGTGAAGTTCGTGTTTTGGTGATTCGGCTCTGATCAACCTGTAGAGAAAAGAATTGTGATCACGGTGATATAAAAATTGCATTAAACGGAGGCCGGGAAGGGCCTCATCGGAGGCAAAAATCGAGAAGGGGCGCAGCGACGCTGCTGGCTTTCGGCCGTGTTTTCCAGCCGTTTGGCCAGGATTTTGGCTCCGATTTGGCCACTGGGGAAATCAGCGTGGAAAAACGAGTCGGGGGTATGAAATTTACCTCGATCGGCGGACGGAAATCCCTCCGGTGCGGCGGCGGGTGGCGGCGGCCGGCTTCTGGTTCGTCTTCTCCGGCCAGGGCAGGCGGCTAGGGTTTGGGGTCTGGTGTGGGGGTCTTATTTATACCCTTTTGCCTTTTGATCTCAGCCGTCCATTTTGATTTAATCTGGGCCGTCCGTTTTTGATTGAATCTGGGCCGTCCGTGCGATTGCATCTGGGCCGTCCGATCGCGCATACGCGGATCGCCAGCGTGGTCCGTCCCGGATCGACGTGGTTTTGCCACGTAGCAGGTCCTGGTTGGCCAGGACTGCTGACTGGGTCTGCTGACGTGGCTGCTGACGTGGCGCGCGCCTCTTTTTTTTTTAATTTTCTCGGGCGCTACAGATCGCTTTTAAAGAGAAAATGAATCTAAACAGTTCGTCACATTTGATCGCGACCGTTCGATCGTGCCTGAAGAGGGAACGGATCCGGATGTCTACGTGCGCACGAACAAATTTGGATTGTTTGATCGCGGGCACGCGGATCGCTAGCGTGGCACCGCGTAAGCAAGCCTTGCTATGTGGCGCGCTCCGGTTCATGGAGACCGCTGACTGGTCAGTCATATGTGGTACATTTTTCTTAAATTGCGTTTTAACCTTTAGTTTCTGATTTTTCTTTTAAAAACACCAACATAATCTAAATTTTCACACTTTTTTTTTTAAAATTGTTTTCAATTTCATCATCTACCTATTTTTTTTCTAATTTTTTATATTAAATAAAAATTTATAAATTAAAAAATTAAATTTTATACATTAATTTTAAATATTTAGAATTAATTCCAGGTATTACATTTGATGGGCCTTTCATATAATTATTTCATAAGGTTTATAAATACGAATATGTATTTTATAAAAAAACAAAATTAACTAAAACAAAAGTAATAAATAAAAAATGATAAAACATTACTTTTAAGGTACTATATTTATTACATAAGAATATGTATTTTGTAAAATAAATAAATTAAAATATAAATTTATATATACTTATAAATAATTATTCTTAATGTAGAATATTTGTGTATTTAAGATACTCATAAAATATGTAATATTAATTTAAAATAATAATAAAGTAAATTTTAAATAAAAATTTTAATAATTATATATTTAAGTATATGTACTTTTTTCAAATTTTCATGTAAATATATCACACATGTCTTAATATTTTATTTGTTAATTTAATTTAATATGTGAATTATTTTCATATATATTTTAAAATAATTATAAATAATTTGCATGACAACAACGTGACTTTAATCTTCCAAAACTACTAATATAATTTATTTCTTAAAATGCAGATATTTTTCTATATATTATTATTATTATTATTATTTATAAAAACAAAATTTTGTTAATGAATAAAATTACAAACCAAGTTTAATTAAAACGACAGAGTGATTTCACCGACCAGTGCCCGTGAATTTAGAGATGGACCAGATCCAGCACAGCTTCGTCAACGTACGAGGACTCAACATCCATGTAGCAGAAATCGGGTCAGGTCAGTTTTACTCTACTCTCGATCTTCAGCCGTTGATCTCGATCGCCAATCATCCGTTTTTCCCTTCTCGTGATCATCAGGTACTCAGGTGGTGGTGTTCTTGCACGGATTTCCCGAGATATGGTACTCCTGGCGGCACCAGATGATCTCTTTGGCGAAAGCCGGGTTCCGGGCAATTGCGCCCGATTACAGGGGTTACGGGTTGTCGGATCGGCCCGAGGAACCGGAGAAGACAACGTTTGGCGACCTCGTCAGTGACCTTCTGGCCATCCTCGATCACTTCGGGTTTAATAAGGTATCAATGTCTTTGCGATCCTGTTTGGCTGATGTAATTTTCATCGAGTATATAAACTTTTAGTAAAAACCAAAATTACTTTTTAAAAATTACACATTGTAATAGATTGTTAAAAAACAGATTTACCAAAAGCGTTTTGAATTTTACCGATTTGATTATAAAAGTATTTTCACAACACAAAGATTAAAACCAAAACTTAGCCAAACACACTCAAAGTTATGGTGTATGTAACTGTTATGAAAATTTTTCTAAGTGTTTGGATAGGATGCAGGTGTTTTTGGCTGCAAAAGACTTTGGAGTGAGGCCTGCTTCAATCTTTGCTCTTGTTCACCCTGAGAGGGTGTCTGGTATTGTGACAATAGGAGTCCCAATGGTGTCTCCAAGTGTCCCTGACTACAAGAAAATCCTCCCTCAAGGCTCCTACATACTAAGATGGCAGGTATTTATTAACTCCTCCCTTCGTTTTCAAAATTGTTCATAATAACCAACCATCTCGGTCATAAAGTTGTAGATTTGAGTCAGATTATATGTCCGATGTTTATCTTAAAAGATTGTTATGTGATTGATATGAGAGATCGTTGTATAATTGGTATTGTTATTATTGGTGTACACATACCCGTATGATACTGAAAAAAAATGTTTACGACAAATTTCAGTTTGACCCCTTGTGTTTTGAGGTTTTTTTATTTAAAACCTTGTGAGTTTTTCTTTAGCTACTCACTATTTCGTGATTCAGTTTTGTGTCAAATTATTTAACCAGTACGTTGTTTAATTCTTTTTAACTTTTCAAAGGTTATGAGACAGTGAATTTGAATCAAGTTTGAACAGAAAATAGTGAATTGTAAAAAAATAATTACAAGGTTTTAAATTGAAAAATCTCTACCCACAACAAGGGGTCAAAGTGAAATTTACCCAAATGTTTATTATTAATTACAATAATTGAAGATGAATAATATATATATATATATATGGGTAGTTTCTAGGTGATTTTGAATCAGTTTTATTTGGCAAACAATGCTTATATGTGTCCGATATGGTGCCAAATTCATATACAAGGAAGCTGGAAGAGCAGAAGCTGATTTTGGACGGTTTGATACTAAAACAGTAATTAGGAAAATCTACATTCTCTTCTCAAGGAGCGAAATACCAACAGCTGGTCCAAATGAAGAGATCATGGACTTGGTTGATGAATCTACTCCTCTCCCTCCTTGGTTCACAGACCAAGATCTTACAACATATGCTGATTTGTATACCAAATCTGGTTTTCAAACTGCATTACAAGTCCCCTACAGGTACTAATTGCCTCGCTTTTAGCTTTCTCGAGAGATTGTTAAATGATCTAGGAATAGAGATAAGTTAAGAGAATCTTGTTTCCATAATGTCTTTACACAAGTTTGAAACAATTTATTTATAATTCCAGAGCATCATGTACTATTATGATGTCCAGTTGCATACGAGATATAGACTATGGTTTATGGATTATTGGGTATCAGTTGGGTGATGACTAGGTCTGTTAGAGATGAAATCCGAGCATGGAAGGGTATAAGTGGTCGGAGGAAACATGTGGACTTCATCCTACTCACCATTTTTTGGGTGGTTTAGAAGGAGAGGAATAAAAGAGCTTTTGAGATGGTAGATGATGATGATAATTTTGATGGGGTTAAAATTTTTTGTTTCATACTCTTAGTTTTTCAATTTTTGGTTATCCTCTTTATTTAATGGAGGATTTAAGGAACCTTATTGACATCTTGGAAAATATATAAATATTTTGTATACGGATTAACACCCATTAGTGCTTGTTAATCAATGATATATATTTTATTTTTTAGTTAAAAAAACTCATTTCTAATTCGGGAGCACTTGTGCAAGTTTGATGTTCGGTAAATCGTGAGCAACTGGATGATAACATTTCCTGGTATTGTTTTGCTAGGGCATTGAGTGAAGATTTCGGCATAAAAGAGATGATAGTTAAAGTTCCAGCCCTCTTGATCCAGGGTGGCAAAGACTATTCTGTCCAGTTTCCAGGGAGGGAGGAGTACATAAAAAGTGGGAAAGTGAAGGAGTTCATGTCTGATTTGGAGATCATTAATCTTCCTCTGGGAACTCATTTTGTTCAGGAGCAATTACCTGATGAAGTTAATCAAGCCATTCACAATTTTCTCCACAAACACATTCCATGATGATAGCTGGAAATCTAAAAGTTCAAAAAAAGAAGCCTCTTTTGAACTTTGTGGTAATTAGTTTGATTTTTCAAGTTACCATAGTTGATCTTTTGTTGAATCATATGTATCTACAAGACCCAGAAATCTTAAAGATTAGATCTTTGATGGGTGCTCCATAATTAAGTACATATCTATCTATATTGTTGTAGTTTTGATTTTATTTCAGATGGGAATTTATGTTAGTTGATGAAACTTAAAAGGGTGGAGATGACATGATATGGTGGAATTTTCTGAAGTTCTATTTTATCCTCTTCACCTAATTTTTAATATTTTATTTAGACAAGAAAGCTCTATAAATATTTGACTAAGTATTTGCATTCAAAAATATTTGTCTCGTTAGTATTTGGTTTTAGGTCGAGTAGGACCTACGTGTTCTTAAAGTAAACCAACGCTAAATAATCTTCGAAAATGTTAGACATTGATTGAGTTTATCATTTAATAGTAGTAAATAATATATACATATTAAAGAATTAAAATTTTATAATTGAATAAAAATCATGACATTACTTTATTTATTTACAACAGCGGTATTTTTTATTATTTTAGTTATTATTTATTATTTATTTTTAACTTAATATTAGTATAAAAAAAGTTAAGATAAATTATTAAAATAATAATCAAATGTTAAAATTTAAAAGTTTGACAATAATTTATCTTAAAATTTAATAATTAAGATAATAAATAATAATTTAAATCATAAAATATATAGTTTATTAATAATTACTGTAATTATATATTTAAAAAATAAATTATATATATACTGAATATTTAAAAAAAAAAAAAAACAGCCAAATCACCATTGAAACAGCAGCCAGCAGCCAGCAGCTCAACACCAGTAGACAAAGTGACACAAAAATATCTCAGCTGCAGGTACTACTTTCTTCTTCCTCCCTTCGTCTTCCAAACACAGAAATGGACCATATCCAGCACAGGTTTGTCAACGTCCAAGGACTCAACCTCCATGTAGCAGAAACCGGAACCGGTCAGTCTTTTGCTTTTATACTTCTCTTCCTCTCGGCACGTCTCTACTCTCTCATCTCTATCATCACTTTCTGTCTTTTTGTGTGATTTATGATCATCAGGTTCTCAGGTAGTCATCTTCTTGCATGGATTCCCCGAGATATGGTACACCTGGCGTCACCAGATGGTTGGTTTAGCGAATGCCGGATTCCGGGTCATGGCACCCGATTACAGAGGCTACGGGTTGTCCGACCCGCCACCAGAACATGAGAAGACCACGTACGCCGATCTTATTAAAGATCTTCTGGCTCTCATCGATCACTTTGCGCTTGATAAGGTATCTGCACTGCGGATCTCTGTTTGGTGTTTTGTAATTTAAACCTCTTAATTTGAATCTCTTTGGTAACGATCCCTATCGTGTAATACATATGGCTGGATCTATTCAATTCTAATTTGATTGATACAACTGTGAATATATATATATATATATAGGTTTTTCTTGTTGGGAAGGATTTTGGAGCATGGCCGGCTTACTACTTTGCTCTTCACCATCCTGAGAGGGTGTCAGGAGTTGTGACAATCGGGGTGCCATTTTTGCCCCCTGTTTCCCTGGATCTCTACCCTCAAGTGCTTCCTGAAGGATTCTACTTATTACGGTGGCGGGTATTGATTGCTGCTACTCACATTTCTACCTTCATTTTAGATTTGGGTGCGAATTAGTTCTACTTATAAACTTAAGTTTAGATGATCGGTTTCAGACAATTTAGTTAAGGTTGAGATCAGATCTTAATTTTATGAGAATTCAATGCAAACAGGATAAAGATCTATATGTAACAATATTTTATTTCCAAATTAGAAATTTTCATGATTTATGAAAATAGAAAAATCATCAATGTGGAATTAGAAAATGTAGGACTCTACTTGGTTTTAGTTATAGATTAAATGTGTGAATTATACTAAATTTTTTACATACTGAATAATTAAATTTTGGAATTAAATGACAATAGAAATAGGCTTAAACCCTTAAACAATGCAGTGCAAATGTATTACACAAGAATGCAGTGAAACTTGTTCTTTGATGCCCGAAATCAAAATGTTATGAGAAGGAGATGCTATTTATGGCTTGTGTAAATCAAAGAACAGATGGATACTTATACAGATACTTAATTTGATAATGTTTTTCTTTGGTGTTCTAAATAGGAACCTGGAAGAGCAGAAGCTGATTTTGGGCGATTTGATGCTAAAACTGTTGTCAGGAAGGTATATATTCTCTTCTCCAGGAGTGAATTACCAATAGCCGATGAGAACCAGGAGATCATGGACTTGGTTGATGCATCTACTCCTCTGCCCTCATGGTTTTCAGAAGAAGATCTTGCAGTTTATGGGGAATTGTATGAGAAGTCAGGATTCCAAACTGCACTAAAAGTTCCATATAGGTAAATACCACTCATCCTATCTTAATCAGATGATTAATAACATCATACATGTTAGTTGAATTTTTAAGAAAGTAAGATGAAATCAAGTAGGTTAGTGAATGATTATGGGTTTTGTAGGTCATTGAAAGAAGAATTTGAGCTAAAAGATTTTACAGTTAGAGTTCCAACCCTTTTAATCATGGGAGGCAAAGACTATGTCCTTAACTTTCCTGGGATGGAGGAGCACATAAGGACTGAGAAAGTGAAGGAGTTTGTGCCTGATTTGGAGATCATATTCTTGCCGGAAGGAACTCATTTTGTTCACGAGCAGTCACCGGAGGAGATTAATCAGCTTATTCTCACATTTCTTCGCAAACATATTTGATCCTGATCGTGTCTTCCAACTCTTTGCTTCATAATTTACTTGACTATATACGTATGTGTATGTGTAGAAAAATTTAGCCATAATAAGTCTAGCGTCTAATGTTGGTGATCTCTTACTTTGTGTTTACGTGTTTGATGAGAAAAATAAAGGATAGTGTTCATTGCCCTCTTAAAGTGTAACACCCAAAAAATTATTTTTTTAATTTTTTAATTTATTTTAATTTGTATTAAAATTTTAGTTTAATTTTGTATATATTTAATTTATAAGATTTTAAATTAATTTAATTTAATTTAATGAAAATAAAAATAATAATAAAGATAAAATACGGTAAAATTATTTTTGAATT